TCAAATGTATAGAATTGATGTAAATGTGGGTCCTTTTCTGGTTTACGTGAATGTTCAGTCCAACTGCTGAGAGGAATTGGTGGTTGTTTACTTTTTTCCCCACTATTAGAACATGAAGTGGCATCAGAAGCCAGTGGAACTTTTCATTTCATTTCCCTAATTTTAACCTGTATTAATCACGTCTTTCTCCTGCACCAATTGCAGACTTCCTTTTCCCCTCTATCCACGCTGCCCCTGGGGCCGACTCCACTGGCCATGCTTTCTTGACAACTTCACCCCCCAGAATGATGGAATGACTTTTATCACCTTTCCCTGTCACATTTCCTCCCGTTATTTCTGAGCAACAGCCATTTCCTCTGTGATCTTTCAGACTGTCAATGATACCGGCTTTAATATCTGATTAAACTCGATTTTCAGCTTCATCTTCCAGCTGCTCAGCTCATCTGTTTTTCTGTTGTCTTCAAAACACATTGTCTGTCTTGGTCTTTTTTCTTCCAAATTCCTCCATTCTGCCTACTATTTCATGTAGGTTAGCATAATTTGTTTCTCCACAATTCTATCATGTGGTGCTTTTGTGACTCCTCATACTCTCTTTAAATCTAATTTAAATTTCTGTAATGAATGATTTCTGTCTTTAAAGTTTACACTTTTTATTGCCCTTTATTAGCACTTTTAATTCCTGCATTTACAGACACTATGTTGATGCTGGTGAGTGCTTATGTTGGTCTCATTCTTCAGATATGAAGTAATTATGTTTTCACTCTCTTTAAGAATAACTTTCCTACCTTTCTGATCAACCTCTCCATAGATTGTAACTTCAGAGAAATCAGCAGCAGCTTCTAGTCAAAACTTCTACATAATGTCCATCAGAATTCATCTATCAAGTCTTTTACCAAGCCTACAAATGGCTGGGTTAGGATGTCTTTAGGAAGATACTCGCCTATAAATCTACAAATCCTAAGGAGATGAAGCAGCCATTATAACCCTTTGGTGAGTGCTCTCAATTAATTACTCTTATTAAAAATGTGCATCTGATTTCTGGATTGTTGTCTGACTTCACCTTTCAGCTACTGCACTTTGTGGGCTGTAGCCTCTCACGTGGGATGAGTTCACGCCACAATTCCGTCACTGAACGGCGGAATTCTGTCTTCTGTGATGTTTTTTCTCATTATTTCGAACCTCTTTTTGAAGTGTATACCAAGAATCAACAGTATTTAACAATGATTTCATAAATGATACACAGATAATACAACCCTTTATCCTGTGTTCCCAGATGAACATCAGCCCTTCTGTGTTCAGTTGCTCACTGACTAGTCCTTGAAGTTATTTTTCAGGATGTTTTCCCCTACAGACCTATACATGTGATTTGCAAATGCTATTAGTGGTAATTTTGCATTTTACTGTCCGATATTTTCTCACAAATATATATCTATAACTGGCCATTTATAATCCCACTAGAAGTCCATTTATTTGATAACCATTTTCCATTAACAAAGAAGTTACTATTTCATGTTATGGTTCCATGATGTGTTGGGTTTTGGTAGCTCTCTAAGCAAAGTACCTTTACGTAGCAAGACCTGCATCATGCATATAAGCTATGTTAGGCCAGCAGTTCCCTCTGCAACCTCTTCAAAAAGCTAGATCAAATTTTACAAGATACTTAAAACCATGTTGATTAGCTTTAATTGATTGTCTTGTCGTTCTAAACTGAATTTAATACTAGCTTTCCTTTAAAGTTGTGGCAAGATTCCTAGAACTATCATTATTCTTACAGCTTCTCCCTTACATACCTTTCAATTTCCCCCTATTCAGTTTTTTTAAACAAAAGCAAGCACTACCTGCTCCTTGTCTCCTTCCACATCCTTGTTTGCATCCATTTTTTCGTTATCATCCTCCATGTCCCTCATTTTACATGTTCTGTAAGTCATGATTGGTTCCATAGCATGCCCCTTCTTTTACTTTGAATCAGTTTTTTGGCTTGTATTTCTTTGCCTTCAAGAATGTTTGGGGCTTTTTAAATCTCTTGTCTTTGAAAACTCCATCTTCCAACTGCCTTCCTTCCTCAGTCTCTTTAAAGCTTTTACTCTCTTCCATAGCTCATCCTACCTCTCATTGTTTCCTGCATGCCCTACTCTAGGTGATCCTGCAGGGGGTTGGACTGGATGATCTTTCAAGGCTCTTCCAACTCCTAACATTCTGTGATTCTGTTAGGGATTTCCTCCTGGATGGCCCATCTCCCATTTAACCCCTTCAAAATGAAGCTTTTAAAATACTATCTCCTCCATCTGTCCTCACTGTGCACAAGCCCTAAGAGTCAGCCTATACCTCCTAGACTCAGACTTTCGAGACCACCCTCTGTACACCTTTTTGGCTAAAGTCTTAAAAATCTTGTCTTCCACATTTAATTATTTTTCCTTTTGGCTTTCTCAGAGACCGGGTTGCTGACCAGAATCTTAATACATTACAAAAGCACTACATCACCAACAAAACTGTTTTGTCCTTTCTGCTTTGTCACGTCTTTCATACTGCTCACTCTCCCTGAAATGTCTTCTGTGCTCATCAGTCTCCTTAAAACATGTGAATTCCAGTAAATTTGAGCTTATTTCTCACCAACTCTACTCCTGTTGTTTTCTCTTTTGTTATACTGGGAAGATTTTAGGACAGAGAACTCTTCAGAGGGACTTATTTCGAAAACAAACTACATTTCTGATACTGTCAATCATAGCATCGTACTGTTACCAAATGATATGTACTTCATAACGCTGCTCGATCCAGCCCAACAGCTGAGGATCACAAGGAGCTTAACATTCTTTGGTTTTATTAAAGTCTTGGAGAGTCTATGAGAAATTTTAGCACTGAAGAATAAATTGTTTTCCCTAAAATGACGATTGCCCCCTTTAAGCTAAGGCTGTGTGATAGTGCTAGAAATCCGCCTGAAGGCTACCTGCTGTGAGTAAAATGAACTTCTCTTTGATTTTTCTCAATTCCAAAATAACTGTGTGCAGAAATTGAACTTTCGGGTTGGCAATAAAGTACTAATGTCAGCTAAGTCTCAGCACGTACAGTGAAGATGGGAAGATCACTGCAGGAATAAAAAGAACACTTTTTTTTTTTTTTGTGGCCTGCAAGGAGCATCATCAGTGCCTGTTTGTGGGTGTGAAAGCTGACTGCCCATTTCTTACACTAGACTGGCCTACAAGCAGGATGAAAAGGTAGCTACTAAGTAATGTGGACTTAAGAAAGCTTGTACTTATTATCAAACTTACAGCTGTGCAGGCAGGAGGGAACACAAAGCCTGCTACAGAAGACCTCCCAGCAGCAGCTGCAGTTTCCTGGAGGTTTTGGCTGTCTCACACCTGGAAGCAAGTGGTGCAACTCCAGAAACACAAGTCAGTTAGTCACTTCTTTGTTAATACTGATGATTGGCAATTGGTCCAGCTGATTACTGCTGCTGCTGGAAGGAGACACTACAGGTAGTGGGCATTTGTGCCCCTAAGGTGGAGGGGTTTTAGTCATGAGGGAAAACTGGTGCGGCATACTTCCCAGATCAGTCCTAGGCCTTTAAGGTACACTGTTTGAAGAAATCTGTGAGATGTAACAGCCTATCCTCACATAATAGTCACAAAACCATCTACACACAAAATGGCTTAGCCTGATCTTCGTCTTAAACTTAATTTTCTATTTTTATTTAAAGGTTTCCCATTCGTCCATCAATACTCTAAACCATGTTGTATTCAAAATGTTAGGTTCTTAACCTTTTTTGATAAATATTCAAGGACAAAGTAAACTTTGAGCATTTGGAAAAATAAAGATGCTAGAACATGCCATTTCTCAAGAGGCTGATCTCCATCCTTCATCTGGACACCTAGATCACAAGCAGCACAACACTTAGTGACCACTCTGTACGTCCATCCTCCCACTGCAAGGGTTCTGTTCTTGTTACCTCGCCTAAGCTCAAAGGGGGTAACTGACTGCAAACTTCAGGGAACACTGCGCCTGTAGGAAAAAAGCAACACATCTTTATCTTCCGCACGGTGTAGTTTTGTATGTGGTAAGGTATGTTGGCATCCTGTAAAAAATGAAATATATAGGACTCAACTTCTATACAGACTTGTTTAGTTTGGCACTATCAGTTAATGGAGAAAATAAACTGCATGTAAAAATCACAAGTTTTTATTGATGCAACCATGTTTTTTTCCAAAGGCAGCTTGCCCTTTTTTGGTCAATTTGTTTCAAATTGCGTATTTCATACACTTTTTATAAAGCATTTGAGAATGAAGTTATCCCTGCTATAACCTCAGTGTGGTTTAATTAAGAGTAGCAATTCTTTGCTTTCAGTATCCCAACTGCTCTCCTGTCAAATTTCCGTAACAAACAGTTGCTCACTTTTATTTGAGCTACAGGATTGCAGAGGGCTACAAAGCATTTAAGTGGAAGACTTACGGAACCGCAAAAAGGAAGCGTTATTACTGTTTGTTTCTTCCAAAGTAAATTTCACACTAAGGTCATGTAAGAGAGTAGAGTGCATGCAGACTTAGCAGTGCTAACCATCATTCCGACCCAAATTACATGACATTGTTTATTATCTGTCTTTTCCTAAAAGACCATCTACAGAGTTAGAAGCAAATTCAGTCTGCAGTTAAAGCACTTGTAAGTATTTAAAGAGGCTGTAAAATGTATCCCCCCTTTTACTGAAAGATCTAATATATCGGCAGTTTTACAATCCCTGGCAGTTAACCTCTGATTGGAGCTCCATCTCCTAGAGGGCTTTAATTTTCCCACTCTGTAACACTGACTATTAAAACAACCGCAGATGCTTCCTCTTGATTCACGTAGCTTACCTACCTATGATGGCAGTACTTTACTGCAGCTGAATCATTACTCTCTGAAGTTGCAGGCAAGCAGAGCAGAGATCAGTTTCCCCAAGTAAAGCTGTTTCCATACATTGTCTGACTTACCACCTCATTCACTACCAATCCATAAATAATACTTAAATTATATACAGTACCATAGAAGTGGGTCTTTATTCTTCCCACCAATAAATTATGCTTTTTAAAAAAACAAATGTTAACCAAGTATAAAAAGTAATGCCCTAACAAAACTACAGAGCTGTTATCATTCCGTGTTGTCTTGGGATTGCTGCAGTAAAATATGGATTTCTTCAAAATGCTGCTTCTTCCAACAGTGTCTTGTACTGTCTTCATTAGAGACGGGAACTCCTTTGCACTCTAACTGCAGTTCAGTTTGAGCAGCCATATCCTTGAAATTCAAGGCAACCGTTGCATAATGTTCTGAAGAAAAAAAATACAACATTTCAATAAAGTGCTTTTTAAAGGACTACATTTGTCGTTGCTAATTTCGTTATCTGCTTTTGCCTGTGTCTGAGTGAAGCCTGTTTTCACAGAGGAGAACTGCTGTGCACATCAGGCTGTTCTCCAAAGAACGCAGACTAAGGGAGCTTCCAGGCAGCAAGGCTGTCAGATGTCACGTTTGCACGGTGCAGGGAGAAGGAGCAGCCTCTTAAAGGTACTCAAAAAGACTCACCATCAGGCCAGCTTCTACACCGCCACTTCAGGACAATTCTTTGGCTTGGGACCTGTAAGAAGATGAAAAGCTTCTCCTCGTTAGCATTCGCGACAATTCACATTACAACTACGCAATGCTAATTCTCCCTTAAAAAGTTAGGGGAGCAGCATTAGAAAACAACAGGTTTATTGAAATGGGCATAATTTAGAGTCATGTTTTCACCTCTGAGATTTCTAAGCATGACATAAGAGTATGCCTGGGATTATTTTTTTATTTAAGGCATAAATAATGGTTTACAGTGTGGTCTAAATCAGGCTTACTGCTCTCACTAAGCCCGTAAGATTATTTTTTGATTGTTTCATGTAAAGATTTCCTTATCTCGTGGACTACGACTGACTTTCCTTAGCTTCCATAATGGGATGTTGCTGCTGAAGCCAATCTCAGGTGTAACAGTTCTGCAGTGTTTGTTTCCCAACTGAGCCCTTTCTGGACTCAGCAACAAATCTTCTAAGCGTGAACTGCAAATCCAATTTTCCAAGGCTTTTTTAAAAGTTGTCCAGTTGTCAGTGATACTGCCCACTATCTGGATGGACATTAAGATACCAAATATAAGCTTAGCAACTGTGAAAGTGATCTTTCAGAGGTTTCAAAAATGGAGCTGAGTTAAAATTACCATTTTTCCCGGCTATGTGCAAAAGCATTGAGTTGGGGAGAGCATGACATTTGTCCTGAATAGAAGAAAGATCATTTCTCGAGTTACAAGGAACGATACGGATTTGGGAAATTAACCTTAAACCTGCTTTCTCACTTCTAGTAAAACAACAGGATGGTGCTGAGAGTTTTCTCCCCCAGTGCAGGTCATTAGGTGTAGTCAGTGCCTGCGCTCTGTTGATGGAGAAGAAAAATCACATAACGTAATAGCAAATTTTTGGCTTTGTAGTAGAGGAACTGAATATCTGTTAGAGAAGCTGACATGTCAGAAACTTAATGGTACTTTTTAGCTTAGAGAAGGGGTTGACAGACACACCAAACCCCCCCCCCCCCCCCATTTTTAAAGTGCTAAGAAGAAGCAGCTTTTTACCAATTCTGCGTATTCACCGCTGACACAACCATCAAACATCTGAAGTCTGCCTCCTTTCACAGCTTCGATCACAGCAGGACATTTAGAAAACTTCTGTACCAACTGGCAAAGGAAGAATACAGCACAAGTCAGTTAGCTACAAATCTATACTGATACATAATGCATCATTTTATGAGACAAGGGAGGTCTGCTGAAGAAATTAACTGAACTGTAATATATGTAAGAGTCCGTAAGCGCTAATCGGACTTGCCATTTTATATAGCACGCCACTGAAGCCTGTGGTACTAGCAGGAGTCAATGAGGTGACCGAATGAGGATGTAAATGCTGAAAAACCTGTGATGGTAAATGCAATAACCAGTAGACTCTAGCAACATGAAGGGGTGTGGACAAAGCGCACACACCCACATCTATACATACATACATTCACACACAGAGATGTGGCTGGCTGATACTGGATTTAAATATGAGGGAGACAGAGCAGCAGCCCTAGGAAGGTACAAGAGAACTACAGAGACCCATTATTTTTCCTACTGGTAGTGTTGGGATTCCAAGGTAAAGGTCTCTGATACTAGCCCAGGCTCTTTTGAAGGACACAAACCCATAATTAGTGACTTTGTATTTTGTACCCTATAAGCAACAGTATCACTGCATCCAATAGTTCATCTAATTAAGCTGTAAGCTGAGAATAACAACTGCCAGTACTGAGCACTTCAGGCTCCTGAATGAGAAAAGCTCAGCCTTTTCTAACTACCAAAGGAGCACATGACAGCTGCATATAAACTACAGAAAGATGCAGCTTCAGTTTGTTTAGTTGGCTTGTCTTCCTATTAAGGTAACAACTGGCCAGATAATAAGCTCTCATTAAAAGGGTAAAGGTGGAATGATGCTATTGCATGTTCTAGTGGTTTCTGACGGCTATCGCAAAAAATTGACAGCTTGTCAACAAGGTAAGCTCCCTCCCCTTTGTTCCTTGCTAGGAGACCAGACCGACACACTGCCTCAATCCTTCAGCATTTTCACCAGTGAAATGCCTCAGTCGTTTAAAAGGGGAACCTATTCAGCAAAACGTGAGGAGCAAATTATGAGAATTACAGATACTTAGTGTTACGTTACAAGAAAAGGGCAGCTCATTAATCCTTCAGTATCTGGATGATCACATCTCCCCATTTAATGTGCTTAAGGAGTATTATCTGTACTTGACACTATGAATGGCACACATTTATTACTACACAACTATTCAGATATAGCAACATCCCCAGGGAGTTATATTGCCTACTGAAAGTATTACTTACCTCCTTAGTTGTGAAGATGCTATAAAGTTCATCTGCTGGAGAGTTGAAGAGTTCTCTCATAAGTATCTTCACTGTTGGAATTTTTACACCAACTATATCCAAAGACTGTGGTGAAACAGAATCCTGCAAAGCAAAAAATAATCATGTGAGTGCGTGCAAAAATCAAACATTTCCAAGTTCTGGAATGGCAGGGTTGTTGTCACCAGTGCATTCTTATACATGCTGTGTGGTGAATATACATTCATTGTGCAACCTGCTTCCTGGGGGAAGTGATACGTGCAGATGAATCCCAGCTTCCCAGCTGAAGCTACAGCTGTTACAGAATAAAACATTCCAGGGTACATAAATGCTGCTGTGCTCTCTCCCCACCTGGCAGACCCGTGCCCAGGATCTGTGACAGTTCATTTCTGTGTTACAGGCCCCAAAACGGCAATGAGGAGGCAGTTTCATGCCAAAGGCTTTCACTTTTGCAGGTAAACACTGGGATAATGCAATTGTTACCACAGCAAAATCTGTAGGGACTGCACATATGGTAATATTAAATCCACACAACATTTAAAGCCAACATACTTGCATTGTGTTCCCACTTAGTTTTTGCTCAGCAGCCAGCTCCTGACCAACAGTAGCTTTTGTTGGCAGAATCATTCCCAACGTAAACTCTGTAATAAAGAAAAGCACTCTTTGGTATGAAATTGAGCTGTACAACCACCTTAGCATTTCGACAAGTAAAGAAAACTGCTGGCCAAAACTGTGGAGAATGGGTAAAATTGCAGAATGGAGCACAGAGCAGGAGACATCTCTCCAATTGAGTCTCCCCACCTTACCTACGTGTTTTTATTAACAAAAGAGCCTAAAGGCCAGTTTCCCTTAAAAACACAAGGCTTTTCAAAGTTACCTGGCCCAAAATTAGTCATATCTGCCCACTGAGCAATGCACCACCTCCATGAACTTCTCAACAGCCCAGCAGAGAAGGGACAAGCTGAGGGCTGGGTGTCTGTCAGCCTGCAGGTGTTACAGCGATCTCTGCTCAGGACACCTAACACAATACAGCCTGGAGTGCTACCCAAACTTACAGACAAGGCCATGTTTGACAGCAGTGGTGATTTTGACTGGTAGGACTAACTTATTTCAACTCAGCTGGTGACAATTAAAAATAAAAACAGTACCAATCCAAGGACTTGTCAATATATTTATTACCAGCCTAGTCAAGAAAGAAGACTGCATAAAACCATACCTAACGTACTGGCTTAGCTTACCTGTTTTAAGTGCTTTCAGGTAATCTCTCAGGGCCTCCCTGACTTTTGTGGTTCCTTCAGTTCTCATAAGATCCTTCAGAACATCACCTTCCCCTTTCTTTTTGCTAACATTTATCTAGAAACAGAAAAATTACAAGATCTGAGAGGCATCTAAACATGCGCTTTTTGGGTTCTGGCAACAAAGTATTTTGTCTGTGTTTACTACATTCAGAGGACAGCTGCAATTCAAGTTCATTATCTTCTCAGTTTATCCCACCTTTGCTAAAAATAAGTAAGTCCCCTTGGGTTTTGACTTAAATAAGTGTAGTATCTTGTCTCCACAGTAGCCTAGTCAGGATCATCAAGTATAAACAGCATTGCCTACTACACAGCATGAGGAATCTCTGGATGCCACAGTATCCAGTGCTCTACAACCAGCAAGGAGATTCCTTCAGGGCTTACAGTTTTGAAAGTGTATCTGGGTAGGGGGGAGGAAAGACTACAACAAGCAGAGTCCTTCTCAATTCTGTAGTTAGTACATCATCACAAACAGTAATTAGCAAAGAAAACTGTGCACATTCCTAGTAGGTGTTTGAGAATGGAGATAAGTCATTATTCAAAGTATAAAAAATGGAAACGTGAAATAAACTATCCAAGTGTTAATTATCTCACTTAATCACAGGATAAATCAAAATATGATGCCTAAATGTCAATTAATGCTTTATTTAGGGATTCTGAACCTATAGAGCCATATCAGTATTTCACACCTACCTCTGTATCATCTACCTCATTTTCTTCTGACAGGTTAGGAATTTCAAGAGATCCCTTATGTTTCTCACCAGACTCTTTCACTGTACCTGTATTAACATAATGAATTCTTAAATGCATAATTAAAAACTATTTCCCCCATAGCAAGAGTTTTATTTTGGAAATTAGTTGTACAAAAGTGTTACTTGAAGCAAGATGCTTACAATCCAGTTTAAAGGAACTAAATAGCAACCAAAAGACTCGAATGCGTCACAGTACTTTCACAGTAACCTCACCTCAGAACCGCATTCCCTGCATAGCTGCCTTAAGGTACGTACACACACACAGGTCCACTTTCCCACTCAGCACAGCGTGCACTACCGCTCTGCCGCTGCTCTCCCCTCAGCTCTCAGCTGTTCTCAAGCTCTCCACTTACAACAACCGACGGCTGCCAATGCAGAATGCAAGTCTAAAAGGGGGCAGGAGAAAAATAACTTCCTCTTCCCCTAAACTTGTCTGCCCTTTATTCAGAGGCTGCCTAGAATGCTCACTATTCCTTATAAATACCTGAAAAGCTCCCGACATACAGGCACGTTACGGTAAAACGTGTGTATAATGGACAGGTATAGAATTGACATTTTTTTTTACACATGCCAATTTTTTAGAACACTCGTTCTTACTCTTAATAGCTTTACTGCAAGCTGCCAGTCACCACTGAACACATCAGAAAGGCTTGGCAAGAACAGACATTGCACTCCGCTTCTGCATGCTGGGCAAAGGCCCACCATCACTTACCTACACAGCTCTAAGAACACCTTCTGGGACATGAACCCTGCACTGCACTTCTTTGCCTCAGGCCTTACAGTGAAGAGAGTGAATTTAAGGCCTGATGCTCCTCTTCTTCCATTACACTGAAGACTTTTCCCCCTTGCCTTGCAAAAACATTTAGTTATTTAAATTTATTCACTATTTAGATCATGTTAAAATCTCTTTAGAAAGCAATAGCAGAAATATGCAGTTCTACCCCAAATCCAGTTAAATTCATACTGTTTCATCAGCTTATTTGTCAAAACATACAAAACACAATAACAAGTTTTATCAGTCTCTCAGCAAAACTAAAATACAAACAATCCAGTGTTAAACATGATGGCAAAAGGGGACTTCTTATCACAAAGGCAGACATGATGTTTCTCTTAATTCTCTCGCCTTCAAAGCAGCCAGCTAGATCCAACTGCTACGTAACATCACTCTCATTTTTAATCACTACCCTGAAATGACCACCATGCTACAGGGGGCCATGATGCACAGATATAACCTGAGGTTCTACCAGTCAAGATCACAGTAAAGCACGCAAACGCTCAGACATCTCTTAGCAAGAGAAAGAGTGAATGGGGGTTCCTAACACAACGTGGGGTACAGCACAAAGATTCCTTCCTAGGCAGGAGCTAAGCCCACAAAGCACAGCGCAATACGCAGTCTGTTAACCCACAAGTAGACAACCATGCAGGGAAAGGCTAAGCCAAGAGACCGCTCCTGGGCTTCTCAAAGTGCCCAGCAGGACCTGTTGGCTCAGGCAGGAAGCCACATGAACCAGTCAACAACACCGATCAAACACTTCCGGGCCAAACACAAACCACATGCAGCCATCTGAGTTTTCTCTTGACTGCGTTCTTCCAGCCCAGGATTGGCACAGGCAAAACCACGCAACATTGTCTCTGCTGATAGTAAAGCAAATCTTATTTTCAGCTACCCTCCCCCAAAAGGAAGTGCAAGCATGTGAGAAGCAGCTTTTCAGAGCAAAACACAAACTTGACATCAGCCCATTCAGCTAACTTCATGAACAATTTTCAGAACTTTTAAAAAAGATTCCCAGGTAACACAGAACAGACAACAAATTTAAACTTATAAAAACAGTACATAGGTTGTCCATCCTCCCCCTTCAGAAAAGTGCTTGTCCAAGAGATTAATAAATGCAAAAGATACCTGTGCTGGACAGCAAAGTCCAGGCAGTGAACAAACAAAGCTGGGGGTCAACACCACACAGGCAGAGCGCTGGCACAGCTCTGCATTTCTACTATCACTGTAAGGTAAGCAAAACTTTTCCCTTTTTACCAAACAATCAGAATATTTGCCTGGATCTCAGGGGATTCCAATAACAGACCTAAGAATAAATGATTTTTTATGCTGCCTGCCAAACCACTATTTCAGAAAATTAACAGTGAAAGCCCAGTCTCAGGAAGACCTGCCTATAAACCCAATGCTGAAATACGCAACTTTTAAAAGAAGATACACGTCATAAAGCTTGCATCACAATGTAGAGTAATCCACTAAAATCCTCATTACATCTTTAAACAAATGATAGAACAGACACTTTGCTCAATTTTAGTGCCATTAGGTACCTTTAGTTCCTCACTTTCTCGTTGCTCTCTAAACTAAATTGCTAAAGGCAACGTTTTTCCAAGATTGGGATTTTCAAACCTGCTGCAGATTTAAGGATCTATATTATCACGTTCTTATGCATCCAGATTTTAATCATTGCTTGAATAACCAGTTATCCTAGAAGACCTGTAAAACTAAATAATCACTGCAATTAGTGTTTTTAGCCGTTCAGTCTGAACTCTCATTTCTAACTCGCAGCTCTCAGAAAGCACACACCATGGCTAACAAATTAAGAAAAAAAAATCCTCAGCCCCAACTCTCTCAGAATTTCACTCTGTAGCAGCAAACTCCTTTAGAAAAAAAAAGAGCTCTCAAAGACATGATCCACCCCATGCAACACTGAACCAAGAAACGTACCCAACGCAAATCAGAGTTGTCCAAACACTGAAAAGCATAAACACCTAGCAGAGGAAAAGAATTTTCAAAGTATTTGTAAAGAAATAAAAACAAAATACTGCATCTGCCTACTTCTAAGCTTTATACACAGAAATAAAACAAAAATCAACCAAAAATAACAAGTGTTTAAAAATTGACATTATTTTAGCTTATATAAAAAAGACTCAAAACATCAAAAAGCTGATTACGATTATTTAAACTATACTGACACAAACTGCATGACAGAGTATGTCTGCCTTCCTGTAAACATTTAGATCACAACTCTAAGTATGCTCTTGGTTTATAACACTCTTGTAACATTTAAAACATAGTTAACTATCAATGCAAACAAAACTACATAACTAACAGTACTTCTTTAAGTCCCCTACTACTGTGGGAGCAAACCTCCATTCCACATCTGTTCCAACACAAGCCCTGATCCCAACATTGAGGCAAAGGATGAAGTCCCAGTCAGCCCAACCAGGAAAAACAGCCATGAAGAACCACAGTGGAAAGGGCACCAGAAGAGGAGCAGTGCACGATTTACCTGAAATGCTGATCCTACAGCCCTGTTTTGAGGCACAGGAATTAAAACAGGAACTTTAAGTATGGCTCTTGGTATTCCCACCTCCTACTGTAACAACTGAGGCCCCAGAAATAAGTGCTGTATTCTGGGGAGGAACAGCCCATCATTTGGCATTCCAATAGCCACGTACACTTGACCACGCAGGTGCTTTTTATCAGCTCTTCTTGCTTCTTACTCCAATGCAAGAGAGATGGTCCACGACACGCCATCAAGCCTTAGATATTTAATAAATGGGAAGAATTCCTTAAGGTCAGAAAAAGATCTCTGCAAATAAAGAGCTTGCCATGGGGCAAGTACAGCAGAGGATGACCTTCCAGGAGCTGGGGTAGCACATGGATGCAGCACAACAAAAACACGTGCACAGCCCCTGTTATTCCAAATAGTCCAGAATTATTTCTAGGTTTGTTTTTTTTTCCTCGTGTAATTAATTATCCTCAATGTAAGCTATGCTAAATTTTTGGAAATGCCTGCACTTTTACACTTCTTAGGTTCTCCTGCTTCCTGTTACAGAGTTGTAATTTGCACATGCTAGGAAACTGAAACAATTCTAGCACAGTGTTGTAAGCAATACACACCTCACCACAAGAGAAATATTTACTTGTTGCAAAGCAAAATGAGTACTACTGTGCTGACAGACTGCTAAAACAATGCTAAGAAACCTGTGTGGCACAACAAAAATGGGTGTGGGGGGGGGGAAGACAAGCTAGGGTCTCAAGATTATTTAAAAATGAACTTTTATTACAGTTCAGGCCCAAGTGTGTCGTGCAACCTCCCTATGATTTTTATTCACTATAGTTCATTAAAATATTCCTGGTTTTCCAATCAGAAGGAGACAGTTTACTTTCCAAAGTGATCACTCCTGATCCCGCAGAGCCAATTAGCAGAGCCAGCTTTGCAAAGACCAAGATAAACCCGAAGAAAACCCCTATCACTGCAAATCTTCCCATGAAAGCTGGGGCCACGGGTGGAAACACGCTGAGCACCCAGCCACCTCTCCTTTCGGCCAGGAAAGGCTAAGCGAGGCCGGGGCAGTCTCTCCCACCGCCGGCTGGGTGGCCGCTCATTGTCAGCGCTGGCCGAGACCAGAGAAAGCGCCGTTAGCCCCTGACAAACGCCTGCGAGGAGCACGGCCACGGTAGCGCCTCACCGACCGCCCCCGCAGCCCGGCGCAGGCAGATCTCCGCCGTGCCGGTCCCCTCAGAGCCACTGTCCTCCTCTCGTACCTTTCCAGCTGAGGCGCAGGTTCCACTCGTAAAAGATGATGAGCTTCCCCTTGCGGCTGTTGCAGGACGCTTCGCCTTCCACCTGCTTCAGGTCGCTGATCTCGCAGCGCCCGGCCTCGCCCTCCACCACAAGC